ACTATACCGAATATCTCGTTATACCGAATCATGGATACCTCCCCCGACACTTCGGTATAACGAGGTTCGACTGTATATGAATCGTACGATATGATGCTTCGTAATCTTGCAGATACGGTATACCAGAATGTTAATTTTTCAACAATCAATGCTATCAGTCATTAAAATAGATAATTTTCAACAATGACATGTTAATCATTGTAACACTGTTGATTAATTTGTATTATCTACTAAGTAAATATAGTAAAAAAAGCATAATTAAGCAGGAATGTGACGTCTTTTGTTAAAGGCTCTTTAGCTAATGCTAGCAAACAGTAGCTCATAAAGAAATCCGAAATATATAAACTACAATAAGTTGTATTTACATTAGAGTACAGTATTAGTATTTACGAAAATATTCAATCTTGATTTCAATCCGCTAAGGGAAACGGGCAAACAATCAACAAATGTTTTTTTTAATGTAAGATCTTTAAATCAACAAATGTTGATCTGTTATTGTCCTCCCAAGCGATTCCCGATATAGCCAGTGAGCCACGCAAGATTTTCATTTTGGGAAATCGAAATGCACACAGAGATACAAAGATTTTAACAGGTCAGAGATGTAATACAAAAGTCACGTTACTGCAACATTACCAACAGCCTCCTGGGATAGTTTTTATTTTTATAAAAGTCCCTCGCGATAGTAGTTTTTATTTTCGTGAATAAAAGTCCCTCGCGATAGTAGTTTTTATTTTCCCTAGGACTTTATTATCTTCCTCTGCATGTATTGTAGATAGATAAAAACAGCTCAAACTGGGCTTTAGCGAGCACCTTGTTGTGAATAAAAGTCCCTCGCGATAGTAGTTTTTATTTTCTGACCATAAAAACTTTTTTGCCCCCTTTACCATGGCCAACTCATGGCACGCTTATTTTGACAGAACCGACGCGGAAGATTGGAATATTTTGCAATTTCATATAGAGTGGATCCAGGATAACGAAAGGAATCCAGTAAACCTGGCTTACGATAAGTCTTCGGACAAACTCGCGAAAAGTCTCCGTACGATTGTTAGTACTTGCACAGACAACAAGAAAATTACGAAAGCAAATAGCCTTTTGGCTGTTATTAAAGTTTACTTTAATACTTTTTTTTAGCGTTACGTCATAATAAGAGTTTCTATATGAAACGAATCATCAGCTGTCATACGGCATGACTCAATGTTTCATCTATAGCAAGGAGGCGTGGCTGTTAGCTATTTCTCTGATGGGCTGTTAGCTCGTTGTAGTCACTGGTTTATCAGTGAGTAAAAACTCTAAATGCCTGTTAGGCATCTATGGCTAGGAAGTGTGGCTATTAGCTGTTCTTCTGATGGGCTGTTAGCTTGCTGTAGCTTGATGTAGCACTTTATTGCCATTGATTTGCAAAAAAATTTATTCATTAAGATCAAATTAATAAAAATTTTTTTAAGTATTTAGGATCAACGGAAAAAAGGCAATGACATAGACAGACTTTGGCTTCCCATTGAAAACAAGATGTGTGAAAGAAATTGGAAATTCTTCAGGTAATTAATATAACTGCAGAAACATTTGAAATGAATTTTTATCTTTTAATTAAATACAACAGATTAAGGGGATTACTCAAGCTACAAGTCAAAGCCAATCATACGCGTTT